GACCTAAATCAATCATTATCTACAATGTGGTAGTGATCCTTCGACATATTCCTTACAATAATATGCTAATAAGATGATATTATATATACAACAAGTACCATAATTTAGTTCATATTTCTTACCACAATATGATTTTCTCTTTGGGTCTCCACAGCATCACCTACATCTAATGGAGGTATTACATCTGAGGGTATATGATCATCGTCAAATTGAATTATATAAGGATTAGAAATATGATGAAACCACTCCATATACCCACTAACACATGTTGTTCGATGAGGTGCCTCCACGAGATCAACAACTAAATGGTTAGCAAAATGCAAACATCAATTATCCAACACTTCTATTGTAGGTGGAGCATCATTTAGGACAGATGGATGACGTTAAAATTTTTTAACATAACCATATTGTCGAAGGATATGTTCTGGCAAGTGTAGATGAAAAATAGAGCCCAATCTAATGTACCCCAAGAACATAGTAATAAACTCGAATAGTTGGGTTTCCCTATGTCGTCATATGACATCCATGTCATTGCATTTAATAATAGATGGTTAAGTTGAAAGCGAATGGTGACAACAATTGATAATCTACCAACTGCAAACTTCATACAATGTGTGAATTTCTCATCATAATCCTCCACCATATCTCAAACAAAATCTAGGGAAATCACTACAAAAAAAATGCTTATTATCTACGGGTAAAATCCGTAGGTAATGACAAAAATCCGTAGGTAATGTCACTCGCTGGAATTACCTACGGATTATAATCCGTCGGTAATGCACTCACCTAAACAAAATATTTTTATTTATTACAACCCCCTCCCCTTTATATTATATTTTTATTATTTATTATATTTTCGAAACTTTGAATTATTATTAGATTAAGGGATTTGTCATTGGCAGGATTCGAACTCAATACCTCAAAGTTGGAGGTCGATACTCCAACCACTAAGCTATTAGGATATTTTGATAATTTACAAATAAATTATATTTATATTTATCCAGTGTAAATATATAAATATAAAAAATATATATAAATACAAAATATATTTATATTTTGATATATTTATATATTTATATATTTATATATTTGTATTTATATATTTATATTTATATATTTATATTTATATTTATATATTTATGTATTTATGTATTTATATATCTATGTATTTATATATTTATGTATTTATCTATTTATGTATTTATATATTTATGTATTTATATATTTATATATTTACACGAATAAATATAAGTATAATTTAGTTGTAAATTATAATTAGAATATCCTAATAGTTTAGTAGTTGGAGTATCAGTTTTCAACTTTAAGGTACTAGGTTCGATTCTTGCTAGTGACAATTCTTTTAGTTTAATATAATTTACCTACGGATAGTAATTCCGTAGGTAATTACCTACGGAATTACCCACGGATGACATTACCTACGGATAATATCCGTAGGTAATGGATAATTACCTACGAATAGAATTCTGTAGGTAATGTACAATTTACCTACGGATTTTCATCCGTGGGTAATATCCGTAGGTAATGTAAAATTTACCTACGGATTTTTATCCGTAGGTAATAGGCTTTTTTTTTGTAGTGAATGCTCATATATCCATGCCTGTTTAAATAAAAAAAAATCAATAAAATATCACTCCATGTTAAGCTAACATATTAAAGGAATCAAACAATAACACTACACCTAAAATAAAGTCGCATGTCCTATTTTTTGTTGGCATAAATGCATTATTAAGCTGCTTATACATATGGGTGAGTGCAATTGCTCCCTAAGAATATTCACCACAAGTAGTCAGATATCAAAATAAACCAAAATATGATACATTAATGGAGGTTGCACTTTTGTCAGCAAAAATAATGTAACCCACAAGATGCATCAAATAAACTCTATCTGCAATTCTCCATCTTTTGTGTATACAAGCATCATCATACATTTCTCACAGTCAATTAAAACGGACATGTCCACCTCTACAATGTCTCATCTCTGCATAAACTATCTCAAAATCAACTTCGAAGAGCTCTACCAGCACATCAACCGCTTCACGTGCTTCTAAGTGAATATTATCACAAAACTTCCCAATAATTGGCAGGTGTAATAAGGAAGACACATCATCTACATATCACCTATGGGTAAATGAAAATTGTTAGTCGCACTATACTATTTTTCAACAAATGTAGATAATAGTCTCTTATCTATCGTGTCATAACTATCATACACAAGTGCTTTCAACTCAGATAACTGAATAGCAAACGCAATCCCCAGGTGTGAAGCCCCCAATTTATTCATTTTTCTTCCATGGGAAACACATTTTATCTCCCCACAATCCTACAAGAAAAAAATATTTAAATTTTATAAGATTAATTATTATATACGCACTAACTTATATAATGTGAAAGACACTTACCACTTCCTCCCACAGACTATGAACGACATGATTTTCATATCTAATTAATAAAGAAGTATTTATAGGCGTTTCTGGAAAAGATTAATCATTTGCTTGAGGATTTTCATATTGTTCATCTCCTGGAAGATTTTCATATTGTTCATACTTATTAATAATACTTGGCTCTCCATGAGCCTTAAGCCTTACAGAGGTAGTTGAACGAATATGATATGTGGGTTGAGAACCACCTTCCATAATCTTTACCATAATGCAAAATTATACTCCACAAAAAAGAGATCATCAAAATAACAAGAAGACATTTTCGGAATGCATTCCAGATTGGTTTTTCCATAAACGCATTATGAAACACCCAATCTGGAATACATTTCCAGATTAGCTTTTTCAAAAATGAATTTCGAATTGGATGTTCCAGAATTCAACCTCATTTTTGTAGCACTGTTTCAAATTGAACAATTTAAGTCTTGTTATACAATTTGAGTACAAAAATATGTAATACATATATAATATTAATAATTATTCACCTTTAATTGTTAGAAAATGTCTAAAAAGAAAATGATAGTACAAAAAAACCAAATGGATGAGGGATGGAGGTGCATACCGCTAGTGAGGGATGGAGATGCATAACGTTGTACAAAAATAGAAGAAGAAAGGGTGTGAAAAAAAAAAATTATGAGAAGGATATTTTTGTTATTTTACTCTAGGTATGGAGTTACACGATAAATTATATGGGTGCAGAAAGAAAGGGCCGAACTCTATAAAACTGGAATTTGTCGACTAAGTATTGCCCAGTAGACCAATTAGTGATGCAACAAAGAAACCCGACATTATAGCCCAATAAAATCCCGTGGATCATTTAATATTACAACAACTCAGCCTCAACCCAATATTAATTTGTCCTTTTTTTTTCACAAGGATATACATTTTTGGTTGTCTCCAAACCATTGTAGTTAAAGGATCTAAATTATTATTATTATTATTATTATTATTATTATTATTTTATTATTATTATTTTTATGATTATTTTTATGATTTTTATGATTTTTATTATTATTTTTATTTTTATTATTTTTATTATTTTTTTATTATTTTATTATTATTATTATTATTATTATTATTATTATTATTATTTTTATTTTTATTATTATTTTTATTATTTTTTTTTATTATTATTTTTATTATTTTATTATTATTATTATTATTATTATTATTATTATTATTAAAATAATTTTTGAAAATGTTCGTTCGTTTAATTGATACAAGACTGATATGTACACTTTTATATTTTTGTTTTTAATAACTTTTTACATTGACTGTTGGTTTTTATTAAAAATAATTTGTCTTTTATAATTTGTATTATCTTATCAAATTAAAAATTATATAAGATGTATGATGATATGTTATATATTTACGAAAAAATTAATAAGATATTTTTATAAATAAGCTATAAATCAATTATAAAAAAATAAACTACAAATAAAATTTTCATTTATAAAATATCGAACTTTCCTATATTTAGAATTTCAAATTTAGATTCTCATAAAATGATTACGTACAAATTAATATTTTGTTAAGTGAATAATGGAAAAAAAAGGAGATTATTTTTAAATTAAAAGTGATTGTTTAAACATGTGACTTGTTTAATAAATAAGTTAAAAATGGAAAAATTAAAAGAATAATATATATATATATATATATATATATATATATATATATATATATTAGTAAGTATACATTTAAAAAATATATTACGTTAAATGTTTAAATATTTATTTAATAATTGATATGTGTAAAAGTTGTTACTTTTAGTTTTTGTTATTATATTTTTGTTATTTAATAAATCGCTAAGGCTTTCCAACGGCAGACTCTACCAAATGGATTCCAATTCCATCTTTCCGAGAAAGAAGAGATGAACGGGCTTTTTCGGTGTGGAAGATTTTTAAAGTAAAGCTTCGAGCATATTGTTGACGGAGAAACTACTTGTTTTATTTTAGGAATTGACCTTTCACCCAGGAGTTCTACTATCGGCCAAGGCAGAGGTAGAAGGCTCTCGTCGCTCAGGAAGCAACTACTGATCCCAGACCTGCACCAACAAACAAGGATTTCACTGAAACTTTAGCTCAACAGCTTAAGGGCTACTATATCTCATCCCCACGAGGGAAGATCTAGTGATAGAGGAAAACGCGAGAATGAAGGTTTGTAATACTATTACACCAGAAAATGATGTATCTTACCGCGCATCAGTAGGAAAGAACCGGGCACGGTAAATCCGCTCATCCTGGCTTCAAATCCTAGCTTGAGTTGCCACGGGAACCTTAGCGCCGCGTGTGTGTTGTGGGAAGGTCCTCCAAGGAAGAGGCATAGAAAGAGTGAGAAAGCTCAATCCAAGAGAATCACAACTGTCGAATCTCGTGCTTAAGCAATAAGAAAAGGAAACCTGTTGGATTATGATCATGATTAAATGATTTTGAAGAAAATGATAACATGAACATTGGACATGGATGTGCCAATAACAAAGTGTGGTTATGTGTACAAATAAACAGTGAAAGATTTTGGATGGATTTTTGAGCATTGATCACTAGCATGAGCAAGGCTGGGCAATCTCTGAAATGGGTTCTCTTGGATTTGATTCACCAGTGCAACGACTTGAGATCCTTCAAGCAAATCCATGCGCATCTATTGACTTCTGCCCTTGTTGCCAATGACTTGGTTGTTACCAAAGCTGCAAACTTTTTGGGAAAACATGTAACTGATGTACAATACCCATGCAATTTCCTGAAGCAATTTGATTGGGGTTTGAGTTCTTTCCCTTGTAATTTGCTGATTTCTGGCTATTCCTCTGGCCACTTACCCTGGCTTGGAATACTGATTTATAGATGGACTGTTAGGAATGGTTTTGTGCCTGATGTGTACACTATCCCAGCAGTTCTAAAATCTTGTGCTAAGTTTGCTGGGACTGGAGAGGTTAAACAGTTTCATCCTCTAACTGTTAAGACTGGTTTGTGGTGCGACATTTATGTGCAAAACACTCTTGTCCATGTCTATAGCATTTCTGGGGACATTGTTAGTGTTGACAAGGTGTTTGATGACATGCTTGTGAGAGACGTGGTCTCTTGGACTGGTTTGATATCTGGGTATGTAAAGGCTGGGTTGTTTAATGAGGCCATTGGATTATTTTTTAGGATGGATGTGGAACCTAATGTAGCAACCTTTGTCAGCATACTTGGGGCTTGTGGGAAATTGGGGTGTTTAAATTTGGGGAGAGGGATTCATGGGTTGGGTCTGAAATGTCTGTATGTGAAGGAGTTGGTGGTATGCAATGCTGTGTTGGATATGTATATGAGGTGTGAGTCTGTTACTGATGCAAGGCAAATGTTTGATGAGATACCTAATAAAGATATTATTTCTTGGACTAGTATGATAAGCGGGTTAGTGCAGCGTCAGTGTCCCAGGGAATCACTAGACTTGTTCTGTCAAATGTTGGTCTCAGGTTTTGAGCCAGATGGAGTTTTACTAACTTGTGTGCTTTCTGCTTGTGCCAGCCTTGGGCTTCATGACTATGGCAGATGGGTCCATGAATACATTGATCGTCGCCATATCAAGTGGGATGTTCATGTAGGAACTGCATTGGTTGACATGTATGCAAAGTGTGGTTACATCGACATGGCGCAGCGTATTTTCAGTGGAATGCCTTCCAGAAATATCCGTACTTGGAATGCCTATATAGGTGGTCTAGCAATAAATGGACATGGGAGGGAAGCATTGAAACTATTTGAAGATTTGGTTGAATCCGGTGCAAGGCCTAATGAAGTGACATTTCTTGCTGTTTTTACAGCTTGCTGCCATTCTGGTTTGGTCAGTGAAGGCCTGAAGTATTTCAATGAGATGTCAAGTCCCCTCTACAATCTTTCTCCCTGGTTAGAACACTATGGATGCATGGTTGATTTACTCAGCAGAGCTGGACAGGTGGGGGAAGCTGTGGAGTTAATAAAGACAATGCCCATGCCCCCTGATGTGCAGATCATAGGAGCTCTTTTGAGTGCCTGTAATATATATGGGAATGTTGGATTTACCCATGAAATGTTGAAATCACTGCAGAAATTTGAATTCCAAGATAGTGGCATATACGTGCTTCTTTCTAATCTGTATGCCACTAACAAGAAATGGGCTGATGTGAGAAGTGTTAGGAGATTGATGAAGCAGAAAGGAATAAGCAAGGAACCTGGTTCTAGCCTTATAAGGGTGGATGGTAAGAGTCATGAATTTTTAGTTGGAGATAATAGTCATCCTCAAAGTGAGGATATTCACGTACTATTAAACATGCTTACCAATCAAATCCACTCTGAGGGGCATATTAATACCCTTTGTTGATCAGACAAGCACGCCTGACCCTGGGCTCTCGTTTTTGTCTTCGGATTTAAACAACTTCTAATGGTGCACTCTATAAATAGTGCCCCTAAATCATATTAGAGTTATCTAATTATTTTGCCTCCGTGATCAAATTGGGACTTGAATGGAAGTTCATAATAGTTACGTTACATGAGAACATTGCATTTATCGGAAAGGTTCGCGGTCACTCTTTACCAAACTAAACTTAGCTTATGCATCGAGAAGCAGTTCAGGAGCAAGGTGGATTCATACGTGCCCTCTTTTAAGGACCAAAAAAGGGAAATTTTATCTTCCATCTGCGAAACAGTGACGAGAATAGTTACAATGCCAAGCTCTGACATGAGACCGAGACAGTGAAATAGAAGCCATTTGGATAAGTTCATTCAGATACAGAATGAGTCAACTCATGCAATGCAATTTAATACATGTGGTCATATAGGTAACACCAGATCTCCACCATTAGTTTTAGGAGTCTTCCAGGAGCATGTGCATGCTGACTTATTTATTTTCTTCCAAGTCAGGTTCAAATTTTAAAGGTTAGAAATTCTTGAAAATAAACTTAATATACACGAGTTCTGTAAATTAAAGTAGTTGTTTGACCAAGTACTTGCATAGTTAGTTTGTTAAGAGGGTGTTTCAGAAATGGTCAATTCTGGAATGTCTCGCTTTCATTGAAATGGTTTGGAAAAGATGAAGCAAGAATTAATAGCCTCTTCAGAATGTATACGTGAGAGAAATTGAAATAGATGAATGATGTGAACTTTTTGTGGAGAAAAATGACTAATTTGAATAAACTTCTTGTTCGGCTGCATTCCATAGAGGTCTTGTTTGAACAATAGGAAAAAGAAAGCAAGACTTGAAACAATGTGAAGAAAAAGTCGGTTGTATAAAAAATCCGATCAACAAAGATAGAGAGGGAAGATATCAAAGTCAATTTTAATCCCTTATTACTGATCAGAATTTTGTTTTTGTACGGTTTTGAAGTTTGTGAGTTTATGCTTTATATATATATAATTTTGTCTACTATGTTTGGATTCCTAATGCTTCCAATGTCTTTCCTCACACAAAAAGACTTGACTCTGGATTTTAACTGGTTCATTCAAATATCCTTCTCTCAACAAACATATGTTAACCTCAAACCTTCTATGTTTTTATATTTCAACTAATTATTCCATTTAACTACATATTTTTTAAGATACATGCATTTTTGGACTCTCAACTTCCAATCACGCAGGAAGTTATATCCAAGACAGGTATATGAATAGAGGAAAAATAAATTATATTTTACTCTTAAAAGAGAACCTTTTAGCATTTTCTTTTAGAGGAAAAGTAACAATTATTTTAGAGGAAAAGTAACAATCATACTAATTTGAATTAGTATTTTCTAGTTCGTTCATTGGTCTTCAGCATAATCAAATTTGATCCATGGTTTCTCAAATGTAATGTATGCTTCTATGTCATGAAAGGCAACGTCGTAACAAGAAAACTGAGGTTTAATCTCCCGTTGATTAATTTGTGTTAGTAATTTAAACACTCAGAATAAAATTTGAGAGCACCAGTTCATAATTTCATACTAAGCATTAATCGGAGTCTTAATAATACTACAAAACTTCCCACCAAAATATATAAAAATTGAATTGAAAAACATAAAAAACACAACAAATATTCCATTTCCTGAGCAATTAATCAGGAACAACCTAAGCTGCTTCCTCTGTTTCGATTTGGCAATCTTCTTCAAGGTGTTAGGGTTGGTAATCTTCTGGAACTTGGTTCCAGATCTGATAATATTCTCCTGCTTCTTCTTCTCTCTTTCCTCTCTCTTCTTCCGCTTCTCCACCTTGTTCAACCGAATCTCCTCCTTCAGCTCCATCATCCTCTCTTTGTACGCCTTCTTAATCATTTTCTCCCTCTCTCTCTGCTCGAACGTTGTACCCTTTCGGCTCACCTGCGTCGCCGACGCCCTCCGCTGCCGCACCTGTTTCCACTTCCGACCGGACACCTTCCCCGCGATCACGCCGTCATAGCTCGGCTGACCGAACGGCTTATCCGGATTCTCCGACGAGGGCCGCGCCGTTCTCTTCGGCGGCGGCGGGATGACCTCGTCGGTGTCCATGAGGGAGGCGCCGTCACCGCCGATGATGACCTCATGGGTATGCGGTTGGGACTGCTGCTCCCTCTTGCGCTTGTAAGTTTTGCCGCCAAACCCTCGTCGAGGCTGGTGCACTCCGTGGGCGTAGTTTACGAAACCTAATGGAATTTAGATTTTATATATTATTGTTTGGTGAAAAATTTTGAAGTATTAAGATTCCAATTGATGTATGAAATTTTGTTGTAAAAATAAACTCTAGTATAATAATAAATAAATAAATAAAATCTTTACAAATATGATAAATATATCTTATATTTTTATATATATTTAATTTAATCAAATCAAATCCTATAATATATTCAAAACCTCACATTAATTAAAAATATAAATAAGGGTATAATTCTCATGTTTCTTAGGATTTATTTAAACCCAAAATCTAAAATAGAACTTATAACCACTAGACTAAGATGCTTGGTAGGATGATTTTGTTTAATAAACAAATATAAAAATAACTAACTAGAATAACGCTGGATAGTATATTCAGTTTTCTTGCTGGGATTTCTTTGGGTCTCCAGTTTATAGTTGTTTAGCTGCCTGAACGTGCATTCAAGGACAAAATACAGGAGACAAGTAAAAGTGAAATATATTTGACTGGTGAATTGTCTATGCCTTATGAACTCAACCATAAAAATGAGTGGACAAACTATTTTCTAAAATTCAAATCCTCGTCAGAATTCACACTCGAGTCTTCTGTGTTCCTCAAACCAGAAGAATAAATGAAATTTAATGTATTAAACTTCAATTGTTTTCTGATTGAGAGCTGTGTATCTCCATCTCTCCTTCTCCACAAAATCAGCATCAAGGAACCTGGCAACAAAAGTCCATAGTTTATATACATCTTCAAAATTAGCCAGGAAGCTTAATGCAGCAGTAACCACTGTCACTCCTAGCCTATCCCTATCTTTCTTCTTGCTAGTTGTTACTCCCTCGCCTCTTCCTTCTTTGGTCTGTAGAACTTTTCCCTTGTCTTCTGCATACTTATCTGCAAACCAAATATGATGCAGAAATCCATAGCTGAGAGATACATTGTTCCTATCAGCAAGTTTCTGTACAAGGACAGGCTCAACCTTCTCACCTTTCCAATCAAACACATTGAATGCCAAAGCAGGTCCTCTATCAAATTTTACCTTTGGGCCATAAATCTTGACTAGGGATTCCCCTGCTGCATTAGGGTGCTTCAGTTTCATCATGGAGTTCACCAACCAATTTATCAGGTACCTTGTTCTATTGGTGATCAGTATCAATCCCAAAGAGTCCACTTGATCCAAACATCTGCACTCAATGTTAAATCTCCCGTTCTCACCATCTCGTGCTTTCGTAGTCTTAAGGCTCTCAACCAGTCCTTTTGACTCTGTTGGCACTATGATCTGAAGCTCAGAAGATTCTTCTTCAACTTTTAAAGCTTGTGAAGTTTGTATCCGACCAGAGAAAGAATTTAAGGAAGATAATTCTTGTTCTTGCAAGCTAGTTAAAGGTTTTTGTTTGCAGTTCCCAGAAGAACCCTTATCTGCTGATGGCTGATTTAGAAACCTATCTGGCACGAGGTTCACAATTCCTGCACAAGAGGAGGATTCAAGAGTGGTGATAGCAGATTTCTTGACAAAAAGACATCCAAACCCTGACGGATTTTCTCCGAAGACCTTGTAGAATGAACAGATGAGAAAGTCTGGTTGAAAGAGAGAGAGGCCAAAGCTATCCATGTCTTTGGGTCCCAATGCACATGCATCGATCAACACCTGCCAACCATTTTCCTGAGCTATGCTCATCCACACGTAAGGATATCTTGCTCCTGTTACCCTGGAGTGAAGTGGGAACACAAAGAGACCCCTTTTCTTCTTCTTCTTCCTCTTGCTAACAATCATCTTCCTCAGTTTTGTTGACTGAATCCTCAGCCTTGGCCATGAGAACTCTGCTGACATGGCCTTGGCTCCTCTCTTCTCTGAGCAATTAATCATTGCTTCCACTGCCTCACTCTCATAGTCATAAACTGTCAGAAGCTTCTTGCTAGATTGGAATGGATACGAGTCTGCCACAAGTTTGAAAGCCGAAGTTCTGTTTGCTGTGAAAACCATGAAGTAGTCATTCTCAGAAATGTTGAGGAACTTCATTATTCTCCTCTTCATGGCAGACTCATACTCCGATTCCTGCCCCCCATGAAGCAAAAGTGTTTTCAGATTTCCAGTCTTGTAGGATAGGCTAAAGAAGGGAATATCCGAATACTGGGGTGAGGATTGGGGTGCTGAAGAAGAGGCAAGTTGGGTTTTTGAGGTGCCATGGTATTGTTGGCGTTGGTAATAGGAGAAGAGGCCGATACCAATGTAGTCAAGGCATGATTGGCTGGAGAAAGTGAGGTGGTAATATTCTTTAGCCCTCACATGGTCCACTTGGTTAGTTTCGGAGTATTGAGGGTACACTTTGTTGAATTCGCTGAATGATTCATGCAGAGAAGGAAGGGACTCATGGTCGGTGAATTTGGTGTTTGGGAAGATGGAGGATGCTGTTGTGGCTGCAAAGCTGTGGCGACACTCTGCAGAACTGTTCCTGGGTTTGCTTGTAGTGTTCTGAGATTCTGGTGGTGGAGGATCGAACAATAAGGAAGTTGGGCAACAACCTTGAGGGCATGCCAGGGAGGCTTCATTTTGACCAAGGGACCGCATCTTTATTTTCTTCTCTGTCCCAGACAATTCTGGTTGTTTATATATACCTGTTTCACAGATGGATTTATTGATGATTTAAACTCTCTGTCGGAAACACAAATACAGAAAATTACAGAATTTCTGTAGTGGTTTATTTGTAATTATGTGGTTGATCCATACTGTGTGAACACACTGACAAGGTCCGGTAGCACAATTTGGACTATTTCTTCATTTCTTGGGTAGTTTAAGTTGACCTTTTAATTAAACTGTGTCCCATCGTCCAATCAATCTGCATCTAGGGTGATGGTGATGTATGCTTTGGGAGATTTCCTTACCCGTTGTAGAAAAAGAAAAGGTAAAAACATTTCTTGTTGAACCTAATTAAATTATTATGCTCTCTTGTACTGACTGACTAGTGACTCCTCTCCATTTCCAATTCTTTTGTTCTTTTGGTCAATTCAACTTGTCATTTTTCTAATAGTGGTTATTCATGGTAACAGCAAAATGAGTTCACATAGAAAGTGATCAAAGGTAACTTGTGGACACTTGGTCATTGAGCCTACGGAAAAAGAACAATGATGCTGATATAATTTTGTTTGATATTCATGAAATAAGTTTAATATTGTGTTGTGAGAATAGTAGCAAAACTGTTGACTGTTAGCTAGTAACTACCTAGGCACAAATGGTGAAGAACAAGAGTTGCGCCAGGTAAGAAGTTAGTTAGCTATTAAGGTTGGTCTAATGACAAATGCGGAACAAAAATCTTTGGTACATGGGTGAAGAATGGACACGTTTGTGAGAGTAAAAGGTGGAGCCAGGTACTTGAAAGCAATAGTGAGTGGAGGACAGAATGGTCGTTATCCAAGGCGGCATTATCGATTAGGTCGTAAAGAAAAGTCACTTAAAAAATCTTCTAAGTACTTGCGGACAGTGCTTGCTTGCTTAAGGTTTAAGTGTTACAAAATAAATCCAAACAAAAGAAGCTCCATGATTGTGGAGCCATTATTACTTGCCCTTCCAAGATTCACCAAAGGTCAGATATTTGTCCTTCTGAACCTCTAAATTAATGTTTTCCTCCGTTGAATGTGTGTTGAGTGAACATACTTTGTCCATTATATTAGAATAATTTTTCCAATACAGTGGCACTAACTAAGGCTTCATTATTATTGATTTGTTTTCGGATGCTTAACGTGTGAGGACACTGGGCTCAGTAACCTAAATAAATGCGAGGCATGCTTATGATGAGGAAAACTCTTTATTCAAAAAAGAACAAAGTGAATTTGACTGCCATTAAAGTGACTTCAATTAACGAAAAGGAAAAGGCAAAGCTGCAGGCAACAGCACAAAGAAGGTTTGGTTGTTTTGCTGGGAACCCAGGAAAAAGAAGACTGCAAAATTAGCTGCGAAATTAAGGTTTGCGTAACAATTTGATGCATATAGTTAAAATAAAATATAACTCTGAAGGATGGACGGAGACGGAGATTGTTTAGGAAATTGTTTTATTCCACTTCCTTTCATCCAATAATTTTCATTTCCTCCTGTAGATTTGTTTGGTGGAATCATGATACAAACCTAATTCTATAAAGATGCAGCTCTAGTTTTTTTTTTGTCTCTTAGCTATCAGCATCACATAATAGCCAGGTTCGTTTGTCCATATTTTTTAAATAAGTAATTTTTTTAATAAATTAAGCAAGTTTTAATTTTGATATGTTCGTTTAACATATTTTAAAAATAAAAAAGTTTTCTTTAAGTTTTCGTTTATCATGTCAATATTTATATAAAATAAATGATGAATCTAAAAAATAAAAATAAAATATTTAAGATTTTATTTAAATTTTAAAACTTTCAATATTTTCAAAGATTGAATCTCTTTTTCCTTCATTTGAATAATAATAATAATAAAAAAATCTAAGATTGGTTTAGTAGAGAGATTTTGAACTTTGGTTCATCAGTTAGAAATTTGGAAAATTTCAATAAGGTTAAACTTGTTGGTTGGTTTGTATTTTTTTTAATTATTGTATAAATTACAACTTATTACAAGTGCGAGAAAAATACATTAACGTGGGTATTTTACCTCATGGGATATACTTTTGGAAGATGTGAAGGTCTAAAAAATGAATAATTTTTTTTTCACTATTTGTTATCACTCAAACAAAATTGTAAGGCTCACTTGTATATTTAATTCTTCCAAATTTAAAAGGAAAACCGTAGTATATTAAAATTTTTAACATCAATTAACAAAAAAATATATATAGGATTTTTTTTTCTTAAAAATATTTATGAAAAAAAAAATGTTCATTGCATAAACCAGTACTGTATTAGGAGTAAAAAAATATAAGATTTTCTTTTATGGTGACGTTACTGTTTGTAATTTAAAGTTTATACTTAAAAAAAAGTTACAAGAATAAATATTTATTTCTCAAACTAGTATTAATATAAAAGATGTTATAAATTTATTTGAGATGATGTAATTTTAGATATATAATACTTAATTTATGTACGAGATTTTAAATAATATTAATTATTATTTGTATAATGACAACATGATCAGTAGTAAAGATAAAAATAAAAATATTATATTATTATTTAAGCAAGAGCAACGGTTTCTTCCAAACAATAACCACTGGGCCGGGCTAATATACATTTTTACAAGTATATATATATATATAAAAAAAAAACTTAGCTAATTTTGCTAGCATCGATCCTGTTATGTTTTCGTTTCTATATTAAAGACTAATTATTTAATTTTATGGATGAACTTTTTCAATTTATTTTAATCCTTCCAATTCAAAGGGACTAAATTAAATTAATGAGTATATGTATAGAACTAAAGCAAGTTAAAAAAAGTGTACAATATTAAAATTAAATTCTTAAAGTTAACATAAAAGAATATAGACCGAGTAAGTATATAAAATAAAACAAAATCACTATGGATGAACTTTTTCAATTTCTTTTAGTCCTTTCAATTCAAGAGTGCAGGGACTAAATTAAATTAATCAGTATATATATAGAACTACAAAAAATTAGAAAAAAACGCGTATAATATTAAAATTAAATTCTTAGCATAAAAGAATATAAACCGAGTAAATATATAAAATAGAACAAAAGCACATCTTATGAATTAACTTTTTTAATTTATTTTATTCCATTCAATTCAAAAGTGTAGGGATTAAATTAAATTAATGAGTATATGTATAGAACTAAAAAAACGTGTACAATATTAAAATTAAATTCTTAAAGTTAGCATAAAAGAATATATATCGAGTAAATATATAAAATAAAACAAAAGCACACTTTATAAATGAACTTTTTCAATTTATTTTAGTCCTTCCAATTCAAAAGTGTAGGGACTAAATTAAATTAATGAGTATATGTATAGAACTAAAACAAGTAAAAAAAAAACGTGTACAATATTAAAATTAAATTTTGAAAGTTAACATAAAAGGATATAGACCGAGTAAGTATATAAAATAAAATAAAAGCACATCTTATGAATAATTATTTTTAATTTATTTTAATTTAAAAGTGTAGACACTAAATTAAATTAATGAATATATGTATATAATTAAAACAAGTTAAAAAAAAGGTGTACAACATTAAAATTAAATTCTTAAAATTAACATAAAAAAATATAGACCAAATAAGTATATAAAATAAAACACAATCACACCTAAGTTTACACATAAGATAGGACGTATGATATGATAGGAGGATGCAAAATCCCAAAAACTTATTATAATAATATATTATCAATTAAATACGTATTTATTATTTTCATTATTATAATAATATTATAAATCAACTTTTTCATAGATGTGGGTATATATTTTTTAAATATAGAATAATGTATTACGAGCTTATAATGGATTATAACAGACAACTGTGATGTGATGTGATGTGATGTGAAGATGATATTTTTTTAAATATAGAATCATGTATTACGAGCTTATAATGGATTATAACAGACAATTGTGATGTGACGTGAAGATGATATTATTTGAGCTCATGATTTTTTTATTGTCGAAAGCTGGGGTTTTACAATAATGTTAAGGATGTTGTTTCTTTCCTCTTAATGATTTTTTATATTTTAATAATAAATATCTAAAATATTTTTTAGTAATTTTATTTTTTATTTTAATTTTTGTTTAATGAGTGACCATAGATTTATATGTAAAATGAAAAAAAAATCCCACAATAAATTGATAAAGTGCTCAAAGAAACGATTAACCAAGTAATTCTTGACTATTTATGTATTATTTATTATGGGTTAATTATATCAACAAGGAATGATTACTACTCTAGGCAGAAATCTTAACAAATTATTAATAAACTAACTAACTTTAATATCCTCCCCATAAGCTCGATGGTGTATAGATTTGAACTGTATGTGAGGAAATTTTGTAAAGATGTTTGCGAATTGTTCTTTAGAGTGAATGGGAAGAAGATGAAAGAGATGAGCTTTAATCTTTTTCACGAACAACATGACAATCGAGGTCGATGTGTTTTGTCTTCTCATGGAAGCTTGGGTTATGGGCGATGTGTCTAACAGACTTATTGTCACATTAGAGGGTAGCTGGGTGAAGGGTCTGAATGTTGAAGTCTTGTAAGAGATACTTGATCCATTGTATCTCACAAACAGTCGCGGTCAAAACACGATACTCAGCTTTTGTAAATGATCGAGAAACAATATGTTGTTGCTTTGATTTCCAAGAGATTAGGGAAGATTAAAGGAAAACGCAACAACCAGTGGTGGATCTACTAGTATTGGGGCAAGTAGCCCAGTCTGAATCGCTGAATGTTTTTATTTGGGCTTTAGAATCTGCGTCAAAGAAGAGTCCTTGGGCAGGGCTAGACTTTACGTACATTAGGATATGTTGTAAAGCACGAAAATGATAATCAGTGGGATTTTTTAGGAATTGATTTAACAAATTAATAGAGAAGCATAAGTCAGGTATTGTATTGGTGAGGTAAAGCAGCTTCCCATCATTCCTGTCTCTTCTAGGATATCCAGGACTAAATTTTCTTTGGGACTTTGTGTTGTATAGGGACTAAATTCCTATCAATCTGTTGTCTTGTATAGGGACTTTGTGTCACTTAAAAAAGGAGTGGAAGAAGGTTTGCTCCCCATCATTCCTGTCTCTTCTAGGATATCCATGACATATTTTCTTTGGCATAAGTGGATCCCCTTCTTTGATCGAGCCACCTTAAATCCTAAAAAGTATTTCAGTTCCCCAAGGTTTTTAATACGAAAGTTGTTGTGTAGAAGGCTCTTGATGTGCTTTATCTCAATCATTGAGTTCCCAACCAATAGAATATCATCTATATACACAAGAAGAGCTGTGAAACTAGTGGGTATTTTCTTAATAAACAGAGAGTGGTCAGACACAGATTAAGTATAATTGGCAGAAATAAGAAAGGTTGAGAGTTTCTCAAACCATTGCTTGCTAGCTTGTTTCAGGCCATATAATGATTTAGCTAACCTGCAGACCTGTCCTATTTTGTCAGTATTCAGTCCTGATGGCAATTTCATGTAAACTTCTTCATCTAAGTCCCCATGTAGGAAAGCATTATCCACGATGTAGGAACCAATTCTGTGAGGCAGCTAGTGCAAGCAAGAGTCTAACGGTGGTTACTTTTGCCATTGGGGAGAAAGTGTCCAGAAAATCAATTCCTTCTTGTTGTGTGTAACCTTTAGCCACTAGGCGGATTTTGTATCTTTCCACGGTCTCATCTGCCTTATGTTTGATTTTGTACACCCATTTATAGCTAATGGGAGTCTTTCCAGGAAGTAATTGTGCCAAGTTCCACGTGTTGTTCTCTTGTAAAGCTTTGATTTCCCTCTTCATTGCATTTATCCAATCAGGATTGGTCCTGACTTCAACATATGTTTGTGGTTCAAAGTTACTAGATATAGCCAATGTGTACCTTAAGTGTTTTTCAGACAGAGATGCATAGGATAAGACCTTAGAAATAGGATAAACAATTTTTAATTTATTTTTCAGCTGTTAAAGGAATAATTAACTTGATGTACATAGTCTTTCAAATATTCAGGGATTCTTCTTGTTCTTGTGGGTCTTCTATTATCCTAGGAAGTGAGAATAATGTCTCTATAATTGAACTCTTCTTCATGTTCAGTGTGTCTAGGGATCTCTGACCAGTGGTATTGCTGCAATCAGTGAGAACTTGATTTTGTGTGCCAGTATTGGTGTGCTCACTCAGAAAGTCATTAGTTGAGCATTCTTCACTCTCCTTTCCAAGAGAGGCATCATGTTTGTCGTTCAGATCCTTGTAAGGAAAAATATCTTCATAGAAAATGACATTTCTACTTATGAAAAATTCTCTAGTGTTTACATTCAACACAATATATCCCTTCATACCATTTTTATATCCTAGAAAAAACCTTTCTTGGCCCTAGCAGAAAAT